ATCGGTCACGATCTATGAGAACCCGTAATTTTCTTATTTTCTAGGTTTTATTCTCCTTAATGGCATGTTTTCTGCATTTTCTTTATTAAGAAAATTTTTCCGATAATTTTTATGAGTAAATATAGTTTTTAGATGATTTTTCTAGTATCGGTTAGTTTTTGAGAAATTAAGAGCATATACTGGACATGGGACCCACTAGTGCGAAAAGTTCGGAAAAATTCGGCCAACTAGGTTAAGTTTTGGATATTGGGTTTAAATTATCAGGTGCTAAGAGATAATTAGAGGTTACCAAGTGGATTGGTGTGAGAGGAAACAAAGTGATATGCATTCATTAAATAAGGTGACAAGTGTCACCATATGATTAAATCTTGCATTTTGACTACTATTCACCTTTTTACCAATTGACCAAATAAACCAAAAAAAATGACCAAAAACACTTCATTTCCAAGCTCTTGTGGCCGGCCATCTCTCCAAGGAAGAAAGAAAGAAAAGCTCTCCAAATTCTTGATTCAATCTTGCTCAAATCCAACAAATCAACCATTTAATCTTGCATTTACTCCATAAAAACCCTTAAGTGAGTGGTTGTGAGGTGATTAGTGGAGTTGTTTGGAGGATTAAGGTGCCAAGTTGCTCTTTTCCTTTGGTTACTAAGGTGAGTAGTGAAGGAACCCCTCTCCTCTATCTAATGATGTCTAATTAATGACTTGTGGTAGCCTAAGAGGTAATTTTGTGGATTATATCTTGATTTTGGGTGAAATTGGTGAAGTTTTATAATTATTCATGATTTTTCTGTTTTAATATGATTCATATGTTGTGGCCATGGATGATGATTGGAAAAGATATTGAAGGAAACTAGAAGGTAGAAAGTGTGGTTAATTGCAGAAAATTTCTGTTTTAGAAGGAAATTGTGGAAACTAGGGTTTCATTTCCCCTCATTCTGCCCGGCACTGTTCATCATAGTTAGAGGCCGAATTAGATTTGGGTTAAAACATGAAAGTTGTAGGGAATGATATTTTAGAGATGTCTGCAAAATTTCAGGCCAATCGGAGTAGCGTAGCTTATGAAAAGACTGAAATACCCCTGCTGCCCTGTTTCTACCCGAACTTGATAATTGCTTCTGTAATTGGTTATTTTGGTTGGGAATACTTCTGATTTGGTTGTTGATGTCTTCTTAAGAAATGTATCCTGGTGTCTTACCTTTCAGATGGCTTTGGAATCACTTGATTTGGACTTAGGTAGCCTGAATTATGGTTCGTTAACCAGAATGCGATTTGTTCACCCGTTTTTGCGGTTCTGGTTTAGAATACTGAATTTTTGACCTAGTTGCACTATGAACTGGACTGAGTGATCTTCTACAACATTGTAGCCCTATCTGTTAGCTTCGAAACGGTGTATCTTGCACCTCCATCCGATAATCGTAGTGCCAATGGTGCCAAAACCGCAAAATGATGTCAAAAACTATTTTTAGGGTTTAAAGTTTAACTTCATTTCCGGACTTTTCCCTATCTTGAATTGTACTTGTACTACTTGGAGCCTATTGAATGGCTATTGAATGAAATTATTTTGTGTGTGACTTTGGGAGTGATTGAGGAAAAAAAAAAGGAAGCCTTGATGGCTGGAAAAGTAAGCAAATTTAGGGGAGGTGCTGTCCAATTTTCTAGGCCGTTTGGTTCCTTTAAGTTTGAATTGCCTTTTGGTAGAAATGAAAGGCTTTTGGGTTGTTTGAGCCTAGGTTTTCATGTTACCTTTTCGTTCCCAAAAATCATGTTTTGCACTCTTGCATTAGTAATTATTTGACGAGGCATACGACTAGTAGTCGAGCCTCACAAGTGCATTCTGTTTACTCGATTTTGGAAGTGGAACCTTCAATTGTTTTACTTTGGTTCTTTTAGGGTTTCTTGGCGATTAAAGCCAGTTTGAAGTGAAAATTTTTGAAGTATCCGTACTTGAACCGGTGAGTGTACCATTCCCCTCATTTGTTGTTTAACTCAGTTTCGGTATATGCAATCTGTGATATGAACGTCTGAACTATCTGTTTATTTTGTTTGAGACGAGGGTGTACTTTATCACACTCGTTTTCTTGTCTGTTCATATGCCAATTTTTGGTGCGAATCTGAATCTTTTATCTGTATCTGTATCTGTATCTGTATCTGTTATCTGTGTCTATATCTGTATCTGTTCTGATGTCGTTTGGAAGCTGGTAGCCAACGACCTTTCTGTGACCTCTGAACTCAACACCTGTGGCTAGTTACTCGAGTCGGGCCGGCCAGGGGCCTGGTCGATTAGATAACGAACCACGGTAGTCTGTTTTGGGATCTTTGGGTATTGAGACCCTTGATTCCGGTATACTCGAGTATTACCATTTCTGAACTGATTGGAGTTCGGGCCCGGTAGGGGTATGTGAGGTGGAAGGAATCGAAGAAAGTGGAATCTACGGTATTGGTTACTTCTTTAACGTTGACGGAGTGTCAACTATTATTTTGATCAAGTTTCGGTGAAGCAAATGGGAATTTGGCTCCTGAGAGCCACCCGTATCCTTTCTGTCTATGGTGTTTGTTCACTTCTTTATTTGATTCGCATATGTGACTAATTGAATTTGAAGTTCCACTTTTCTTACTTGCTATTATTTTGGTACCTCATTGAGCGTAAGCTCACCCCTTTCCCGTTATCTTTGTTTTCCTTACAGGGAACCACTTTTGAGGCTAAAATGTTTTGAAGCACGAGTCGAGTTAGTTTTAATATATTTTTGTAAAACTCCTCGATAGTTGGAAAACCCTAAATGTATTTTGATCTAATTATCTTCTTTTTTGTTTCGTAAATTACAAACGTATGTGTATAAAACTATTTACCCTGTTCATGTATCCTATTTGGATTGGGAATGTTTTCCCGAGTTATATGGCCATATCTGTATTTGTTTGGCTCCTAGTTGGATGGTAACGTGGCAACCACTATTCATTGTGGTTTCGATTTTCGTTTTGCCATTTGGCGACTTTGAATCGTTTGAGAGCGCTATCACCTTCCTGAACGTTTTCGATTTCATTTAACTGCTCGATAGTCCTGGCGAGAGTTGGGCAGGCAGTCCGCTAACCCCTTTGGTACGCCTTAGGGGAAGGTGGGGCTGTCACACGATCTCAATGAGACACAAATTTTGAAGCATTTAATATTCTAAAAATTGTGAATAATATAAAAAAATATGTTAAATAAAAATAATTTAAAAATTAGCAAAAGAAAATCTGTAAAATTAGCAAAAGAAAATCTTGGCGAGTTGACTTGGGATGATTCGGAGTAACTCGATCATTTCAACCCTTTATGGTGACTTCTTGACTGAGTTCTCGGCGAGTCAAATATCTCGAAATTTTCTCGTTTCGATGTTATATCGGAGGGGTCCGTTCCAGTGACGACTCAACTGAGTCGTCTTGGACTCGACCGAGTCTTTGAACCATGGATAGGATGCGTTCACTTGACCGAAAGCTGTTGATAAATTTTTCTCAGCATAACTGCATCTCGATGTTCATCTAGTATTAGATACTTTTTTGAATTCTTCTTGATATATGAATTCTTAGATAGACAGTGCATGTTCGTCATGATTGAAGCATATGAATGGAGAGTAAACTTGAAATTAGGACCAAAACTGAGTAATTGCTTCACCCAAGATACTTGGTAATTTGATGCATTCAACGCTCAGTACGTTGGATATCTGTTAAATTCTTCTAGTGTTCTGCTTTCATGTTTGTCAGAGTGGCATTTCCTCCTGCCTCTCCTTTTGGCTTTACCTGTGGTTTCTGAGTAGTGGCCTTTTTTTTTTGGAAAAATGTGTATCCAAATAGAGAATAAAACCAATTGGTGATGACTTGTTATGGTAGGAAAAGAACGTGATTACCAAACTAAAATTCCACGGAGATTTACAATTGCAAAGGTGAGTTGACTTTGGAGTGCAGATTTACAATTTCTGGCACACTGCTAGTGATGCCAAGAACAAGCATAGCTTTTCTCTCTAAATGAATGGAGACACTCTGTTTAGTCCATTTAGTACAGATATCCAACGTTCAGTGGAAAGTGACCTTGGCTGAAACCAGAGTCTGCATACAGATAAGCATACGTACCCTTAATTTGTACATTTCCTTGGAGCTATACCGAAGAATATCAAGACTATTACATTTCTCTGCAATTAACTCCAACATGTTTTTTCTTCCTCAAAAATAAAATAAAATTAAGACAAGCTCCTTTTATGGTTTTATGACAATGTTTTCAGACTTCAATGTGAAGTGGCAAGCTCTGTCCAGGAATCTCTGGCAAGTGGAATCAGGAAGTTTTATGACAATGTTTTCAGACTTGAAATAATGAGATTGATTTGAACATCCATGCCTCAGAAGTTTAGAATGGAACATGTTCTTCGTCAAGAAACTCAAAAAAATTAGCAAACATAGACAACCTAATAAAGTAAGCCAACTCACATTTTATCTGCAGTGAACGACTGCTTTACAGAAGGGGGAAAGAAAAAAGCAAACATGATTGTTTTCGCCTAGTGACCCGGCATCTCGAGGCTCTGAACCATTCATATTTCCAATTATTCATGGGAAGAATTTCCTTTACCAAACTAGACAGAGCAAGACAACACCACAATTCAACACAAGGGAAAAATAGTTTTCTTTCCAATATCGATCAGATCTTGGATGCTCTTTTATCCTACTACTAGTCATTAAATACTTGGAAGGAAAATAAATTATTCAGCAAACTTGGCTGCAAAAAACTAGAAAAAAGATTTAAGTAACAAGTAAACGCAACATAATTCATTAATCAGAGCAAAAAGCCCCAGCAGGCCTACATCAACTTGTGATTTGGCAAGAGTTCCACATCCACATGATCATGAGCAGATGCTATTAGCAAGATAATGAACGCTCTCTAGATTAAGGTTATTTTATCTTACTGTATCACAGTTAAATTTTCAACTTCCTGTATTATTCTACCATGATCCTGATAATAGCACTAACAAGAAAATCTCAAATATTTGGTTTAGCCAGGGTCTCCACAAATGAAACTGCAGAAGATTTAGTACCCCTAAGAAACCTCAGAACTTTTGCAGTTTTATAAGCAAAACTATACCGTGCTATAAAACGCCTGTCTACCTCAATAATGATATCACCATTTTTCAAGAACCCTAGTGGCACCAAAGCATCATGAAGCACAAATCCTTCAATATTATACAACCACATCCAAGATTCCTCGACACGATAATCTTTCATTACCCAAATCTCAAACATTCTACCATCCTTAAAAGTTGCACAAAGGTTTCCCTTAAAATTTCCAATTCTGAAGTTTGTTGTTTCCTGCTTATCAGGTCCCTTGAACTCCTCCAGCTTTCCTTCATCCAAATTGTACAAAATCACCTTTTTCCTGATACCCCAACATGCTGGCCAATGAAGATTTCCATTCACAAGAACCCCAATACTTTCACGATACACATAATCTTTATTATGCTGAATACTTTTCCAGACATATTGCCCAAGTTTGTCATTCATAACACCAATTCTGACAAAATATTTACATCCTAATACAATTACATAACCACCTGCAGCAGTGGACGAATTGGGGCCAAACCCGCAAAATGGATAATCAATTTGGAAATTATTCTTTACCGTTTTAAACAATCCCGTGCATGGATTCCACAATGCCATGTTGTAATCTTCATATCGAAGGCATATTAGGCCATTGTACGAACCAATTAGCCGAATATATTTAGTGTGCATTCCACCAGGTTTAGGAACCTTCTTCCATGCTTTTTCGACGTCTTCGTTGCTCAAACATGCATTGTAATTTAAAACTGCAGTTGGAGAGGTTATGAGGATTGAGAATGGACTTGAGATTATGTTGGAGATTATTGAATACCAATATTTGCAGACGCGCTGGCATGTGTAGAGGTCCTTGGGTGGAAGCCTTGACAATATATTCTCCAATATATACTGATCCATTATTCAGGAGCGTTAGTTTCAAGAATATGAAGGACGCAAATATGGTGGAAGAGGATGAAATCAAACTCGAATATCAAATATCATGATCTCTCAAGACTGTCAAAATGGGGGATGAAATAGAAACAGATATGTAACAAGTTGAGAATTCTAGTTTAAATCAAACTCGAATACCAAATAGCTTCAGCTCTCAAAACTCTCAAATAGAGAATATTGAAACACGGAAGATATATCGGAAGAGGATAAAACTAAAATCAAAATCGAAGTCTAAATCGAGCTTCTTGAGCTCTCAAAAAATATTGGAGTAAAAAATCCTACATAGAATTTGTAAACAAAGATAAATAATGGACATACGATTCTAAATTAACATAACTGGCAGTAAGATAGGAATTCCTTCCCTAATTGATTTGTGATTGTGGGCTCCTTTTATCATGGACAGGAGATGAAAATATGAGCGCAAAATTCGCTCCACATTTACTAATGGTTTGTTTACTTTAGTCAGGTTTTACTCGGTATCCCTGTTTTAGACGGATTCATCAGTTGACATACCAAAGAAGGGTTAACTGGACTAAACCCCCTATAATTAGGGATACGTTGCACTTTGTCGCCCTGAGATTATTTTAGCTTAATTTTGCCGCAATACTAATTGCCGGTTATCAACGGTTCACTTTTCCATTTGAAATATGATAAAAAGTTTGAATTAACTTTTCTTAGTGTTTTAATTATTTTTTAGAATGATTAATGATTTGCATGGCATATTTAAGGCTTAAAATAATTTGGATTCGAGCATTTCGAGCATGTTCGCGAACAACTCGTTTATATTAAATGAGCCGAACACGAACTCGAACTCGAACACGAACTTTGCTTAACGAGTCGAACACGAACACATGTTTGGAGTTCGAAAATTAACGAACGAACACAAACGTTGTTCGAATTGCTTAATTAACAGAGCTCAAACATGAGATACTCGGTTCGATTCAACTCGTTTACAGCTCTACGTTTTGATAGACCAAAGGCCAAAAGTTTACTTTTAATTGTTAGAGGGTCAAAAGTTCATCCGATTAAAAGTTGGAGGGCTACTGAGACTTTTTTCCCTAAATACATCGACCATAACAAACCATTCTTGGGCTTCAATCATAGTGTCCGTCTTTAAGAAAGAAAATGAAAGTGATGCATGCATGGGTATATTAGTAAATAAGAACGTAATTTATATTTAATGCCCAACGTACTTACATAAATACAAGAGTTATTGATTGACTAGTTTGACGCTGTAATTACTTACATACAAATCTTGCCAAGACAATCTAGTCTTAAAATTGATTATCATTGTATTTCACATTTTAATTACTAAATAGTATTGCCAAAAGTTTTTAGTCCCAACATTGATTGCATTGAATTTCAATTTCTATCTGCTAAATGATATTGCCCCAACCAGGGCTTATGTAGTAACATATATAGGTAGGCATGTCAATGGGTTGGATTTTATCCAAATTCAATTCAAACCTAATATATTTGGAAAGAGTTTGAATTTAATTCATCAATTCTAGATCCTACCTAAACCCAATCCCTGTAAGAGAGTCATGGATTTGGGTAGGGTTTGGTTTTGGATGATCCAAACACAAATCCAAATCCAAATCCAAACAAGACACTACCCAGACCCACTTATAAAAAATATATATAAAGTAAATTTATAAATTAACCTAATATTGTATGTCATAGTTACTAATACAAATGTTTTCAAGAAAAGAGAAAAAATAAAAACAAGTAAATGAAAGATTGAATGTAGATGTAGATGAATCTTTGAAAATAAATAGTTTTAGTTGATAATAGTTCTTTCTTTGAGTTTATAATATTAAATTCAACATCTTGAATGCTAATTTTATTTTTTGAAAATAAAAATTGGATGACATTTATGTTATTTTTTAACTCTATATATTTTCAAAATATTTTTACTTTAGTTCTTCAGTGTATGTTCAGAAAAATATCCACGAATACCAAAACCTATGAGGATCCAGGTCTAGATTTACTTTTTCAAACCAATAAGGGTTTGGATTTGGGTCTGGACCTAACAAAATTTAATTGGTTTAGAACTGGATCAAAGGGATGCAACTCAAACCTTGTCTATTGACATGTCTATATATAGGGATGCAAAATATGTATCAATTTGCAAAAGCAACATGTTTCTTTAGAACATCTTCATATTTTCACAAGGGATTTTGTTGCCCAACCCGGAAATTTTGCTATTAATCTATCTCAAAATTTTCTCCAATTGTCTTGAGCAACTTGGTGTCAATTGTTTTGGAACAAAGGCATTAGAGATCACAATTTTGCAGCTAGTTTAGTGGTATTAAATCTAAATGTTGGTTTATAGGGGTACATAATCTCCTTGGTTTGTTACAAAAGCAGCGGAGGAACCAAAAGGCAACAAAGCAGGTGTTTTTACCAAGAGATATATTGACTAAGCGGCGTTCTTGTTTCTGTTTAATTGGTTTCATGCTTTTGCTTGCTTATTGTACTCGATGCGTACATGATGCGTTGCTTTTCCAAGTCCGGGTCTCTCTCTCTTTTTTTTTTTTTTTTACTTTTAAGAGACTTGTAGATACATGTTGAGATTACCTGCCTATGCAGGAGAATTCAAATGACCATAAACAATAAAGATAAGAGAAGGCTGCGATTATGGACTGGGCAAAATTGAACGAGTCATCTCTCGTAAGTTAGCCTCAGTTTCGTGAAGGTGAAGGTTGTTAAAAGTCAAGACATCCGTTCGTCTATAAATTTGTTGAAATTGCAACAATTGGATGGGAATGTCATCTACTCTAGAAACATTTCTCCCCCGCAAGGTATTAGTATCTATTGTTAAAGAATGGGATACTGCGGCTATTAAGCATTAAGTTCACAACAGAAATGTTCAATTCAATTCGGTTAATCATATTGTCCTCTTGGGTTACACGCAATAGCACTAAATAAATATACAATCTATCACCCTCCCCCATCCCCACTAAAAGAAAAAGAAAATAATAATAATAATACTTCATAAATAAATAATTATAAAAAAAGCAAAATTCTGTGTACCTATTTTAGAACTTTTCAGCGGTTTAGATCACGGAAGAAATAGAGCTGCTTTAATATATAATCATTGAACAAAGTGTAGCTTTCACAACCAATAGCAGACTGATTATCCATGTACATTTGGAATATCACGATCAAAAACAGAATATGAAGGACAGATAGTACTGCTTCTTTACCAAGATAGAGTAACAAGTGAAGGTTGTGTGGTGTACAAGGAATATGAGGTGAGTTACAGTCTTCTGATGCATCAAAACATTTCACATAGAATTGGGGATGAGAAAATGATATAATAACTAGTGCATGTTTGGCATTCAAAACAAAAGCTTTGTTTCAGAGGTTCATCCTGGAGAATTGGGTTGGCTACCATTAGCAAATGTCAAGTTTCCAAGTTGCTACAGTTTTTATTATCAAAAGATATTTGTAATTTTTTTTTCCCAAAAGAACAAAGAAATCTGCTTGCCAATTATGGAAGCAACAAACCAGGAGACAGGTGAGGTAACAAACTCTACCAAATATGAGCTGAAAAACGGTGAGAACGAGGGAGAGAGTGAATCCAACAATACCAATGGGAGCTGATGTTAGTGGCTGCTTTCTATTATTGATTGCATAGAAAAGTAATAGTTTTAATATAAATGGACTTACAAGAATATTGAGTGAGAGTAGACAACGGAAGCTTGATAGATGCAAAACCTTGAATCTTCTTTATTGAATATAAAAAGTAGAGATGATTGAATACAAAGGAGTGGTTGAACTTGAAAAGGATGATTACAAAGTAGGGAGATTTTAACTGATCTATGGTCGATGATTTCGCTGATGCCTTTCTTCTGAATTTGATTCTATTTATAGAGGCTCGGGAGTTCTCATTTCATCTTCATTTGAATTTCATTTGTCTTTTGGGTCGACACTTTATTTGTGGCCGACATCTTTTTCAAAAGTCATTTGGATCTTGTCCTGGATGCCTCTCGAAAGGATCGAAAGTAGATTCGGATGATTCTGCTGACTCGTCAATTTTGTTGGTTTCTTCTTTCTTATCCTGCTTTTGCAAATAGTCCAAATATTCTTTGAGTAGTCTTGGGATCTTGAATCATCTTTTTCATCAGAAAGTCATTTGAACTTGCCTCGGATACCATCTCGGTATCTTTTCTTTCTTTATTGGAGTAGTGGTTGGAGTTGGTGTCATAGTGGTTGGAGTTGGTGGAGAAGTTTTGTAGTAGTATTGTAGTAGTTGGAGTAAGGTAGCTGTTTTTGTCCATTTGAGTTTGTCTCCTGTGGTTAGAAATCTGATGACGTTAACTTGATCTCCAAATTCTTGATTGAATCCTGTGTCCACCATTTAATTTTGAATTCTCTGACCAATGACATTGGAAGTGATTTTTCTAACTCTTGATGAATTTGAAACTCAGCAAAAGATCCAGAACTTTGAACTCCATATGAAATAAAATTGGTCTTGTATATTCTTCCCCTTTGCTCTTTTTAGGTATGTCTGAAATCCCATGAGCACGTTTGGAGGTAGAATTTCTGGTTGAGCGTCCAAACCATTTCCACCAATGATTGAACCAAATTGGAAATTCTCTACTGCAACTTTCTTTAAATATGAAGAACCAGGAATGATTGAATGGTCTAAAAAAGGAAGCACGATACATGCCATTTTGTAATCTTGATATGTAAATCCATCTGGAATGAATCTTACTGAAAAGGATTTTTTAGAATAAAGAGAAGTCCATTCATTGGAGAACAAACTTTCTTTATTATACATTTGAATGGCTGACTATATTTGGATTTTTCTATCTGGAATAGGAATATTTCTATAGATTGAGTATCTTGAAGAATTAATTCGTAGTAATCAAATTTTTTGAGGGATCATCTGGTTGCCAAAAATATTTCTGAGGAAAGATTCTTTGGGTAATTTGATTGAGTGTAGAGTATAGAGGTAT